TATAAGATGTGGAAAGTACTGGGGATTAATTACCAGTAATACTTCTAGGTATCTATGTTGGATGCTACCATACTGGTACAACGCCCTGGAACAACGGAACTGCCTATATTTGATGATTCCATGGGAACGATGTTTCAGGTAAGTGATAAATTCATTGATGCAATGCACAGTCTCCTACTCTATTGTTTTTAGTATATTTCTGTCGAAAAGTTTCTCAAATTATTTACTTGCTTTCTACTAGAACATCAAATTCTGCTGTGTTCGAAAGGTAACCCCATGTTTCGCGCATATCGATCTGTATACCGTATTCTCCGTATTCTTATTTTTTAGATTATTCTCGTTTGATGTGTGTTTGTGAGGCTCTTTGTGCTCTTGCCTTTCCTTTTCGATGGCAGATGGTATATGTGCCAATCTTGCCGTATTCACAACTGAAATTCGTCGAGGCTCCGGTATGCGTTTTTTGACAGACGTTTTTCGACTTTGTTTTTGTTACAGAATAATTCGAATCTCTGGAAGTTTAGGTACCATATATTATGGGATGGTGTTATGAAGAAAGTGTGCCTGATTTTCTGTTCCAATCAAATGTTTGCGTTCTTGACATAGATACGGGTAGAACAGAATTTCCCGAAGATCTGCCTCCTTTTCCTGGAGCTAAGCAACTATCACAAGAGATCAAAGCGGCTCTAGAGAGGTGGCCACTTTTCAGCTGTATTGCTTTCTACACTTACTTTCAAATATTCCAGATACTCCTCATGGGAAGATATGTCCAAATCGATAATCAGTGGAACAACTCCATCTTTAACGAACTCGCCAGCCCCCACTGTTGCGAATCGAAGCAATAGTGCTCGTCGTACAGATGAGTGGTCTGCAAAGCGAATGAGTCGTTCTTTTGATCACGATGATGCCTTAGAGGATGCGATCAGTGAGTCATTGTCCGTTACCTCCGTAGTTTTTCGTTTTTTCTTCGATAGATTTGCGATTCCTGGAACTTTTTTCTTGCTTTGTTCAAATTATCCAAAGTAAGTGCAAACAATGTATTAGGTCGTTTCATAAGTT